GTTCAATGTTGTGTCAGTCTACAAACTGACTCAAACAATAGTTTAAAAGATAGAGAAGACAGTGATAATGGCAAAAAAACCCAACCACCTCTTTCCATCAAAGTTCTTGCTATGACTTTCATAGCTGGGACAAGTAACATTAAGTATTCAGGAGCAAGGTGTTCTTGAAAGAAATGGTGTGTTGATCTCGTAAGAAAATGTACAACCAATAAAAGACATTTAAAAAAGTGCAGTGAGTCTGTACATTAATCGAGTTGTTCATGGAAACCCCGTGCTCCAGGAAGATGGTATAAAAGTCTCTTCAGGTAAAAGCTTTCCTGGACTATATATTCTTGTCATCCTTTCTCTATACTTCTCCTATTTCTACCACCCCACTTCCAAAACAGAATAGGACAAAACCCAACAACACAACAGTATTGCAGTTGTATTAGTCTGTTTTCATGCTGCTGATAAAAACATAACTGTGACTGCACAATTTACAAAAGAAAGTGGTTTAATTGTGCTCCCAGTTCCATGTGGCTGGGGAGGCTTCACAATTACAGTGTAAGATGAAACGCATGTCTCAATATAGTGGCAGACAAGAGAAGAGAGAGAGAGCCAAGTGAAAGGGGAACCCCTTGTATGACCCTCAAATTTCTTGAGACTTATTCACTATCATGAGGATAGTATGAGGGAAACCACCCCCATGATTCAATTACTTCCCACTGGGTCCTTCCCACAACACATGGGAGTTATGGGAGCTACAATAATTTGGGTTGGGACACAGCCAAACCATATCAGCAGCCCTGAAGACTCATTAGAAAATCATTTCCAGGCCGGGTGTGGTGGCTCATGCCTATAGTCCTAGCACTTTGTGAGGCAGAGGCAGACAGATTGCCTGAGCTCAGGAGTTTGATACCAGCCTGGGCCACATGGTGAAACCACATCTGTATTAAAAATCCAAAAAAATTATCCAAGTGTGGTGGTGCACGCCTGTAATCCTAGCTACTTGGGAGGGTGAAGCATGAGAATTGCTTGAACTTAGGAGGCAGAGGTTGCAGTGAACTGAGATCATGCCACTGAACTCCAGT